TACGTACTATATATATATATATATATATATATATATATATATATATATATATATAAAAATATAAATATATATCTCTTTCTATTATTTGACTGGATCCATGCGAGTGGCTTACCGCCACACAAAAGAGCCGCTCGCATGGATCACTGATAAGCTCCTTTAGTTGCAGCATCGTATATCATTAAACATTACTATTATCATTTCTCGCGTAAACACTCGTAGTACAGTACAATAGCTGTGATTGTTAGCTTCATGTTCTCACTTCTACTTAGTCACTTCTACTTAATTAAACTTAATTCCTCGCGGTGTCAAGCGACGGTCCGTTCTTTGTTTCTATCGAGGATAACGGACGCAGATGTAAGTAGAATCCTTATTCCTTTTATAAAAAAAAACAGAAAAAAAGATTGCGCAAAAAAAAAATCCTCGGTTCTTCGAAGGGCGAACGATCGTCGTTTGTACGCGAATCTATATTTCGAATTGGTGCAAACACGGAACGCCGATGAAAGGCGGTTTGCAAAATATGCTGATACGTAAGATAAATCGCTTGGTAGGATATTAAGCTACCTCGGGCTCTTCCCGAGGAAACGACACGTTCGCTTTTGGCGTACCGCGAAGAAGTAGTAGCTTGTAATTACTCTTTTGTCTTCTCGAAACGCATACACCGCACGCGTACACCGCACATACACATACACATGCACGCGCGCAAAACGATTGAGGATCCTTAACACGGAGGATCCCGGAGGGACGAACGGAGACATTAAGCTTCCCTCCTCTCTTTCAGAAACGTCATTCCTCTCTTTGTCATTGTCGTCGTCATCGTTTGCCGCGCGAAATCGCATACGGGGAGAAAGGACTCGCATACATCGAACTAACGCGACCGCCGAATAAAGAAGCGATGACAATAGTTAACGCGTTTTACTGCCGTCACGACGACGAAATGTTATTCAATTCGAATCACCGAATCGAATCTCCGTATGCGATTTCCTTTCATTCACGGTTGCATCTACGGTTCCTACTAGACCAAACCTTTTCGTGTAGGTTCGATAGCGCCAGGGAAGCTCGATGCACCGAAATCATCCAGGCAGCACGCGAGACTAAATATCACGTTGCTTCGAATTGAATATTTTTTCGAATATAAGCTCGCTTACTCTCACATTTGAATAATCGCTCTCTTGTTTTAGATATATTTATAAATTCGCAACACCAACGGTGCGACTATTCAAATTACGAGAATGATTCTGTTCATTGCGTACGTTTGGAAGTAGATGACGTTTCATCGATCGTTGCAAGAAAAAAAGGAACAAAGTGCGGTCGCACATGTATGCAATTCGCGTCTATGTTATACTTCCAAAAAGCTAAGTCATTAAGATTGTATAATCTTCAGATTAATTTAGATTAATTTAGATAAGATGATTGAAAAGTGGAACTTTTTGAAAGGATACTCATCACTTTGGAAGGCAAAGCGGTCCATCGTTGTAAATGTGTGTAGATAGATGTTTGTATGCGATAATGATTTACACTTAATTTACAGCTCATGGTTTGGCAAGAAAAACATTAAACCACGAAGTCGAGTAGCGGTCATTCGACGTTGCTGTTTATGTTTTTCAATCTACTGTGTATCTTCAAGATAATTTGTCGCACCATGTCGCACAGGATAAAGCGCGCGGCAGTGCTTTAAAGCTCCTAATTATCTCTAACTCCAATTTTTCATTTTTGGAAGATACTCTAACGAACTATTTGTCGCTCGAAATACTTTTCTCGAAGATAGATCTATGCGCAACTGCATCTCTGAGTTCGATTTAATTAAGTCGAGAAAGAAAATTTTTTTTCCAATGGAAAGATAGCGTTCACGATTATCGAGATCGAATTTTTAAAAGAATAAGTATGAGATAAAGAGGCGCTTGATATTATAATAATATAATAATTTCTAACTTAGCGAGGAATTTTGCGTTTTTTTAGTGCCTAAATATGTAGTAGTAGCAAGGCTCCAACTTTGGCTAAGATTTCTTAACGAGTAAATTTGTAAATTAAGTATTTTGGACATTAAATTATAGGCCATAATATAGGCAACTGATTTGGCAGTAAAAATTATAAGAATAAAATATCGAGATCTTAATTTTTCCCTTGATTTTCAATTAATCAAGTAGTTTTTTTATTTTTTTTTTTATTTTTTTATTGAACTAGATTAAATTGGCAAAGGACTGCGAATGTATGTGTATGCATTAGGTGAGAGTATTTGTCTTTTATCGAATCTGTAATCGAATATGGAAAGAAACAGTTTTGTTAGAATATTTAAAAATTTGGCCAGAAATTATCTGAAAATAATTTTGTTGCGTCATCAAAATATGTATTACACGTTCAAATTGATTGCTAGAATATAAAAAATTTTGCAGTATTATGATTCTTGGAAGCGTCCTACATAATAATTTTAATGTATTAAATTAGTTCTGCGATTTGTACCAAATTTTTAAATATTTCAACAAAGTCGTTCTTTCGTAATTTTAAAAGAATCAAACAACGGCGCACGATCGGTCGTCGGTCGAGGCGACAATGCGATCGTTTTGATCGATTTTAAGGGATTACGTAACTATTGCGACTCTGTGCGCATGATGCAATCTAGAAAATCAGTTTCAGCGGTTTGTCGCCATGTCGTCGAGAGCAAAGCCATCCTGTTTCTATCTCTCTATCGCGCAGATCTACGATTCTCAAAGGGAATCGTTGAAGTCCCGTCAGCACGCGCCTTCATCTCTCTTTCTCCTTTCCCTAGCATCTTTCCCTCTTGATGCTGCATCATCTGAGGGATTTCCTGGCCAGCCTGCGATCGCGTGGACGTGTTTCGCATCCGTTCCGTTCGTGTGTCCTGTTACGTTCGCCACTCTCGCGAGCACTCGCGAGAACTCTTTCATAAGAGATAAATAAGGAAGATCGCGCATGTGTAATCGAGAAAGTAACGCATAGGCATAATATAATAATAATAATAATAATAATAGTAATAATATTGCATAACATACATAACAATTGTGATCGTGAGAGTATCTGTTACGAATAAATCAGTTGCAAATAAATAATGTGACCTTTTTCCAAGCTATGTCGACTCTGCTTCTCTCAATCCGTTCCGTTCCGATACTTCCAATTCTCGAGACGTTACGTTAAGTCGAAAAAATATTTATAGCGAATGTATTAAACTGGCGGTAAAGAAGTCGTTATATTTTTGAAAATTGATAACAATTTTCGAAAAATTGATAACAAAATCCAAGTAAAATTACTACCATAGATACTCAGTAGATTCTTCTCAAGAAAAATTTTTCAATCTTTTTCAAAAAGCTTCATTTCCTAATATTATTCAATGCTGCAAAGTTGGAAAAAACGATCGATCGATCGATCTTTTGTGTTTAAAATTAATGAATTGATTACAAATAAATGAACAAGTCCGTCGATTTGGAGAGAAAGTGCAACACTATCTTATATTTATTTATATAATACAAATGAGTAGAGCGGCGGTGGGAATGTTTCTCTAATGGTGAGGAATGTAGCTGTGCGAGTCCTGGGGGCAACCCGGCAGCAAGTTCGACGTCTCCTCGTCCGCGGAGCTGCACAGCATCCCGACTAGCGTGTAATCGACGAAAGGCGGCAGATCCAGATCGTTAGCGGCCGGATCGCCGTAGTTGTTGACGGTCCCGTGTACCGGCCCGGTGCTCATCACCTGCGGCACCCGCTCCAGAATCTCGCAGGTATAATGGCAACGTTCGTTGTTGGGATAGAAGAAGGATTCGGGACTGTTCCGGGATTGAATCGACGTTTCCGCCACGCCGGAGTTGTGGAACAGCCTCTCCGCGGTTTCCGGCGTTTCCTGATTACCGTAACCGCCCTGGAGCCTCTCGTCCAGATTGGTCCGCGTCGAGTTCTGGTGAACGACGCGATTGTGCGGCTGATTCTTAATGTCGCCATGCTCGAACATCTGGTGATAACCGTCGAAGGGATACGGTTTGTTCTCGGGACTGCAGTTGCGTCGCGCTGCCTCTTGAAGATCCTCATTCTTGGGTCTCTGGTAGAGACCGTATTCCGTTCTGCTCACCATCGGGGGCTGGCAGCTGTTTTTATAGCATTCGACTTCTCTACGCGAGGGCAAAAGATCCTCTTCCTTGACCTCGAAGTTCTCCAAGTGTAATCTGTTGTCTTGTTGATTGTCCTGAGGCCAATAGGACTGCTCGTGTTCGTCCTTCACGCTTCCCTCGATAAAACCCTTCTGACTCTGCGATCGGGGATAATTCTGGTAGCTCAGCACGTCGTTCGCTGGCTGATTCTGATTTTTTTCTTGGACATAAGGATGCATCGTCCTTCTGGAAGAGAAGCCATTGGAAATCTTTTCGGGTTCAAAGCTGGCGAAATGGAGCCTTTCGTCCTGAGGCAGACTCAAATGACTACTGCTGGAGTCTTCGCTAAGGAATTGATTCCAGTAACTTTGATCTTGGCTTTGTTGTTTCATCTCATATTTGATCGTGCCGCTGCCGAGATCGAGCAACGTCGGTGGCGAGCGAGCCACGTCTTGTGGATTTGCAGAGAAATCTGGCCTCAAAGGTTGATCCAGTTGAAAAATCTCTTCCGGTTGAAAGAGGTCACCCGTGAAGGGTGGAAAGTCGCCGTAAGACGCCTCCTGAGGAATTTGATTTGGCAAACAATAGCCGGCAGTATTTTCCTGCGGTGGAACGTCCTGTAGCCAATAAGGTCCATCCGTAGGTGGTAGCTGTTGGGGATATATCGTCGTTTGATGATGATGAGACTGTGAATACGATGGTACGTTTGTCTGCAGTGAGCACATACATTCGAAGGGCGGACACGAACATGAATATCCTGCAATTTTATTATTTCAAATTTACCATTAATATTAAAAATTATAATAATAATAATATATAATTCGCGGTTAACTCATATTAATAAAAAAACGATGTTTTTCTCGTTAATTTCATAAGTCAAAAATCGAAATTCTATTAGAATTTAATGCATTTTATGCGTTTTATCTTGAAATATACAAATCGAAATATTATTCGAGATAAATTGAATAACGGAAATCACATTGCATTTATTTCGTTACAATATTCTTATTCAAGGTACGCGGTAACACAACATTTAAAGTTAACTAATTACAGGCCGGCATGATAATTTAATTTTGATAAGGGCGAATTAGAAAATCATATAGTTTGACTAATTTTAGACAGCAACGGAATTTTCGTTATGACGAAATTTTAATTTGAGGCCAATATTACAAAAATATTAATCTCTGATCGTCAGATTCTCAACTTTACTTCACGCGCCTGTAGTCGCGTTGCCGACAGTATCCGCTCGCTAGCGCCATCTGATTTTCGCGATTGTTACCTTGCGGTCGAACAACAGCGCACAGCGCGCGTTCTCTCGCAGTTTTCTCGTTTTCCGTATATCGTGAGTGAACCGATTAATGGCGTCTAATATACGTTTCGTAATAACGTAATAACAATAGGTAAGAGAATAACGGTAACCTTTATCGGAGATCAATGGAGGTGGCTGTGTCGTTCTCGACGGTTGCTCGAGCGTGTCTGCGCTTGGTCTCTTGGTTCCTCTCAGTGACATCAACTGCAACAAACATGCATTCGATATGATTCCTTCATCAAACATGGCTATTTATTAATACGCAGGAAGGCGCGCGGCCACAGGACGAATTAGGAATTCGATTGATCTCTTCGTTGCGGTGAGTGATTTTTCTTCACTAACTCTCAGCTAAATTAAATAATCAGCCACTTTTTAATTATTATCGATACTCGAACGGAGGAAGAAATTAAATCTGTATTGGTTTAATTAATTTTTTCGGATGATTACGATAAGAGGATGAGAAGAAGAATCGATTCGCGAGCTAATTATGTGGCAATACGAAATCTCGAATTACCTTGGAGCCCAGGGCGGCCTCTCTCGCTAAAAGCACCGCCAGCCCTCTGACCCGCCTGCCGGCGCCCACGCTTCTTCGCGCCTCCGACGTAGACTTCGCTTCCGGCCGCGGGTGATCGTGCTGGCCCTTGGCCTGGAAGAAAATCGCGTGCTCCGTGTGCCGCCAAAAGTGCGTCACGGGATAACCGCAATGACCGCGACAGGACAATATCTCCAGGCGACCGGTGCATTGTCTATTGGGGCACGGTTTGCCCTGCTGCTTCTTTCTCGCCTGCGAACAAGATACGCAGTTAAACGTGAGAAAAACATCCGACAAATTCTCTATCGGACTCTTGATTCGTTTTTTTTTTTTTTTTATTATTTATTCAGAAAATTATCTTAAGATCTGTAGAAAATGAATAGAACTTTTTCTCTCTCGATTATTCATCCGCGCGATGAGGCATGATGACGCGACGACGCGACGACTCGTCGTCGCAGGGTGAACACGGCGACGGAATTTTGTTGCGTCGCGAAACGCAACGCCGAACGGGAATGCCGGCGAACGCGTGCGACTATCGGACGGGCGCAATTTACATTTATTATCGGGCCGAGATTTATGTTTATCGTGCCGTTATGCGCTTCGCTCACCTTATCGCAGATCGCCGGTCGGAGGTGAACCCTACCACCGCCAGGCAGTATGCACTCCTGCGAGCACACGAGAACGCCCAGGCAACTCTTCTTCAAAATGCTCACATTGTGATTGTTGGTGTTCCTCATCGCCCAACCGGAGGCATGCCTCCTCGCTTCCTCGCAATCCGGCCCGTAGACTCTCCTCACGTGTCCGTCCGCCCATTCGCACCAGGGATCATATTCCACTACCTGAAGCAAAATTCTATCCTTGAGACGCGACTTAAATCCCTTTCGAGGGATTTCATAAGCGTCGTGCTGGAAAAATCGGTATCTCGTCTCGTCGCGGCGCGAGACGGGAAAACTTACCCTCGGAACGTTCGAATCGTTTATGTCCCATTCCTGATGAGGGTGATGTTGCTGCTGGTTGCCGGCGACAGTCGCTGACATCGTCGGCGACCCCACGCGACTCCTGCAAAAGAAAGAAAAAAAAACAAATTCGTATCTCGGTTTCATAGATTCTTCAGATTTCTTATATCACATAAAGATCTTTTTGAATCAAATCATCCTTATATCGCGAGTCCGATTTTATTGCGGTCGAGAATAGACCTCGAGACCTCGCAATCGCCCGGAATCGAATCCAGGGACTAATTTAATGTTACGCAATCGTGCGATCGTGCCACGAGTCCGGCAGTCTGTGGGATAAAATCCCGATTTATGGTGCATACCCGGCCGGTACCTCGCGCGATACTTATGGGAGTTCGTGGGTGGTACGGCGCGACGTGGAGCACGTCCAGCCGTCTCTTTCCGGAATCCTTGCATCCGATTGCGTATTGCGATCGGGACGAGGTGCAAAAGATCGATCCCCGATAGCTCGTAGCTACCCTCGAAATTTCTGTACGACGGTGTACCGTGTGCTCGCGGTACTTTATTTTATCTTCGTCGGTGATCGAGCACTCGACGCGTCCGAGGCGCTCGATGAAAGATACGCGAATTTATTAATTACGTCGCGAATGATGACGTCAATATTAACGTCGCGATGATGACGTTTCGCGATCCATTGGCAAATCCTGGATCCTACCGCTTCGCTTTTACTCATTTACGCGCGATATACGTCGATTTCACGTGAGCTTTTTTTACTTCAGACGTCAGTTGACAAAAAATCTGCGGAGAGGTTCGTGCGAAAGTGCGCGACATTCGATTAATTCGTCCCGTCGTGCGTGTTAACAGGGACGAACTTATGGCTAATCTTTTGCGCCCCCGATGGTTCTCTCGCGGCCGAGCCTCTCTCGCGCGGCGCCGAGCGGCGCGCGAGAAACGCTTGTACGTAAAT